GACCTGTTCTTCTCTGGGCCGGTGAGTGGTTGTGTGAACTTGGGCATGGCGGCTGCCCTCGGTAGCATGTACGGAGCCTGTGGGACACAGACAAGGGCTCAGTTAGCACAGACGTTCCAGCATTATGAGTTCACGCAATGCGGCAGGGAGAGAGAGAACAGCCTGGGTGGTGTTTACCATGAATGACCAAAGCAAGAATGCCCTGAGGATGAGAACCACTGTGTTTTTAATAATAAAAAAAACTGGTCATTTTTCTATTGGCCTCTCTCAAAGGGTGTTTATCTGGTTCCAATGAGTTCAAACTTGCAAACTGGCTGCCTGTGGTAGGTGAGCTCTTGTGACAAGTCACACGCTAGGTTTATGCCGCTAAAGCAGATCCTTGCTTGGGCAGTTCCCATCCCATTAGAAGCAGGTTCAGAGAAGATGTGCTTTGCTGAGGTCCCGAGCTAATTGGTGGCTCGATCCTGAGGGTGATGGTCATTGCTTCTGTCCCTGAGGCAGGCCCAACCCAGCCCTGGGCATTGGCGAAAGGCCTTCTGCTCTCAGACTTCAGATGGGGATTGTGTGGCACTGCTATGCCTTCCCCACCTCTATGCATCTTAGGTAAACCTTCAGCAGGCAAAACATGCCTCCCCTGGAACCTGGCTCTGCAGACACAGCTCCCAGGAGGCGGTGTCGACAGGAGCATCCCTACTCTCCAGGCCATGCCACCTGGAGGCCCCGCTTGACGGGCATGCACCCTAACATGCTCATGCTCACCCTTCACTTATCTGGTAAGGACACTCAGGCATTAGCCTGTGACCTTTGGCCCTCCCACCCTTCTTGGAGTGGGACTGTCCTGCCTGGTCTGGAGGCCCAGGACACACAGGAAGTAGAATTCCTCTTACCTGCAGCTGGGCTCCTCCTCCTCCCTTCCTGGCAGCCCCACCAGAAGCCACGTGGAAGTTGGCTCTCTAGATGACTCTCACAGACTGGAAGAGACTCGAAAGGTCATCCTGATCTCCTACCCAGAGAGCAGACATAGACCCCAATGACCATGGCTCTGAGGGAGAGGCCTGACTCCCCTCCCCTCCAGTCCAATCGCATTTGCATTCCCTTCTTCTCTTCCCCTGGCAGAGATACTGCCACGGCTGCCTCTCTCGGGGCCCTAGTTCTCTGGCTCCCCTCGAAGAGGCTAGAGGAGGGTCACAGCATGGCTCTGGGCAGCAATGGCCTGCATTTCTAATGCCCCTCACAACTCCCTTGTTGGGCATTGAATCAAAAGACTGAGCCAGCATGCCTCCAGTTCCTTCATCCAGCCAACACTTATGAGCACCTACTGTGTGCTAGGGCCCTCCCCCAGCCTTAAGATGCAGTTTGCTCACAGCAGCAAGCCTGTGTTTACCATCAGTTCAGGAAAGAGATGCAGACCCCAGGGTGGGAGTGGGGTGGGGGTGCGGGTATGTGTGCTCCTGCCACAGATCATGGTGCATGGCAGACCTCACAGGTGCAGCCTCCCCTCCTTCCTCCTCTGCCCCAGTTAACCAGGGATAATAGGGCTGTGCCCCACTCAGGTGTGAGCAGAATATTTGGGAACGTCCAGAGCTTTGGGAAAGGGAGCATCTGCCTGCAAAAGTCTTCTGCAATTGCAGCAGCAGGAGGAGGCACGGTTATGTTGGCTTGAGCCGGGTTCGGAGCGGACACTGCAAATAGAGAAAACGGGGTGGGATCTTCTCAGGGAGAAAAGCATGTCACTCAGCAGGTGAGAGGGGAGAGTCACTCTGGCCAGCCCCATTGTGGGCCCCGAGTAGGGAGGGTGGTAGGGGCATGTTCCCCCCTTGTGTCCTGGGAACATGAACCTGCCTGCCAGCACTCAGGCAGAGACAGAGAAGTGAGCACTAGGGGTCAGCCTCTCCAAGGAGCCTGGCTCTATGGGCCTGGGGTTCGCCTCGCAGAGCCTCGCCCTAAGGGGAGGTCATCTCAGAGCTACTCAATGGAAGGAGACACAAGCCTCCTTATGGCACCTGCATCCTGGGCTTGCACAGCTCTTCCGGCAGATACCAGCTGCTCAGGCCCAGGGACGCGCCTCTGGCTGCTCCCGGTGTGTCTAGCACCGGCGGGCAGAGCCGGTTAGTTCTGTTGCCTTGAATCAAAAAGACTGAGGGGCTGAAGAGGAAAGGAAACAGGGAGGACCTAGGGTCTGTCCCATAGAAATGTACGTTAGTCCTTAAGAAAACCTTTGACAAGAAATAGACTTTACTTAATATATTTGGGCCTGCAGTCTTGCTTTCATTCTTTCTTTGACTTTTTCATTCAGGCCTGAGTGGAGCAGGATAATTCACCTCCCAGAGAGCTGGGTGGGGGGCAGCAGAGGTCACTGCCCCACATAATATAGGGGGGGCAACAGAGGTACCTGCACCTGCAGCGGGCCCACCCCCCGCCTCCCCCCACTTCCCCTGGAATTGGGATACGGATTAAGGTGCAGCTCCCACTTCCCAGCCTCCGGTGATGAATCCCAGTAGCTCCCAGCTCTGCCAGACTGCCCGGAGGCAGAGGGCCTGTGCGGGGTCAGCCTGGGCAGGCACTCCCTTGCCCAGCCATCCTTGTCTGTATGGTGGGGAGTACACCAGACACCTTTGTTCTGAGGATGAAATGAGATGTGTCTGGTAGTTGGGGAAGTTCTTTACAGTGTTTATTTGCCCTGCGGAGTCTGCTCCTTCTCCAGAGCCCTACTCGCCTCAGACATGGTGGTCCCATGAGGAAAGTGGCAGAAACTCCTGTGTTTGAATCTCAGCCAGGTCACAGGCCAGCCGTGTGACTTTGGGCAAGCCAGCCACTCTGACCCTCAGTCCCCTCATCTGCAAGCTCGGAATAACAGTGCCCACCTCTCCAAAGTGCCTTGAGGATCAGATGAGATGAGACATATTTACAGGCACCCAGGACAGCCTGGCCCTGGCAGCCTTCACCCCCAACGCACCATGAACACGCATGAGATCTTTCTCCTCTCTCAACTCAGACCTGCTTCTACTCAGCAACAGTTTTCCCGTTTGGAACATCTGCCTTCTTTACTTTCCTTTGGAAATTGGGATGCAGGAAGCAGACACTAAGCCTGTCTCCCCAAAAGGTGACATTGTGTGGTATCAGGATGAAGAGGGCCTCAGGGCCCTTCATTTGGGGATGCCCACTGCAGAAGCAGCGGGGGACGAGAGGCTGACTCCAGTTTCACTCTGGCTCCCCGGGTGAGGCCTCAGGACTCGAGTTTATGCCTTTTTCGGCCTCTGAAGTGCCCTCTGAGATAGTGTCTTGGCAGAGCCACTTAGCATTCTGTTCAGCAGGGAGGCCCAAGGTGCCTTTGGAGCCTGGGCACAGAGCTGACTGGCATTGGCTGAGTCCACAAGATGCACCTGCCCTCTAGTGGCAAGACATGGAAAGGCATGGCAGCCCTGGGCTAACCTGGCCTGCTGAGGATGCTGTCAGCCTTGAGTTACTGAGGAGCTGTGTGTGTGTGTGTGTGTGTGTGTGTGTGTGTGTGTGTGTGGAGGGGGAGGGGGTGCGCCTGGAGATTAAACAGCACAAATCTAAACTAGGCCAACATGTGAAGGCCATTCCCTGAACACACTCCAAGCCCCAGATTTGGGATTTCACTCACCCATTCATTCAAAAAGTATGGAGTGTCTGTCTGTATGAGGGGGTCGGGGGAAGCGGGGGTGGTTCTTGGCAGAGGGGACCCAGCAATGATCAAGACAGGCAAGTCTGCCCACTCCCAGAGCTTTCATTCCAGTGGGTGTGGTGTCTGTTGGGCAAAGATGGAGGTTTTCTCAACCTCTGCTTGCCTCAGAGTCAAGAAATCAGCAGGCACCTGATTCCTGCTGGAATCTCTCCTACCTGGTTTTTTGTTGTTGTTATTGTTGTTTTTTTTAATGGTCCCAGAAGTTAAATGACACAATTTAACAGAAGGAGCACTGAACAGATAGTTGAACTGGGTCTGAATCCAGGTTCCTCCACTCACTAGCCCTGTGACCTGGGCTCATCATTGGAACTCCCAGCCTAGCCCGTTACCCTCCAGCAGCAGCCAGGGTTCACGGACGGTGGTGTACGAGGACACGTGGTCCCCTGGGCTGTCCTGTGCAATGTGGGCACAGTCACACCTACCTGACCTGCGGCCACGGATGCCAAAGTGCCTTCACCTGGCATTTGGAGGAGCAATCAGACTCCTTTTGCTTTATCATTTAAAAAAAAAAAAAAACCTCATAAAATTAATTTGATGCCATTTATTCTGCTTCATTGTGTGCCAGGGTCTCAAATACCTGTTGCTTTGTAAGAAACCATCCCAAAACTTAGTGACTCAGGAGCAATGTCTTCTATTTCTCGTGATCCCTGTGGATTGACTGGGGTCTACTGGGCAGCTTTTCTGTTTTACATGTTTCTGCTGGAGCTAAGTGACATACAACATGGCTTCCTCATGCACATATCCGGCACCTCCGCTGGAATGGCTGAGCCAGCCGGGGGTGAAGGTTGGGGGTGACCAGACATCTCTCCATGGTGAGTCTAGCAGGGTAAGCAAGGTGCCTGGGCCTCTTCTGTGGGGGCTCAGGGCTCTGAGAGTTCCAAGAGGCTCAGCCGTTGAGCAAGTGCTGGTCAAAACTCTGCCTCCCATTTGCCAAAGGAAGTCACATGACCAAGCCCAATGACAGTTGAATTCTGAGAGGCATGTCTACTGGGGGTCACCACCAGTGTAACAGTCTCCGGCAGCCAATCATGGTGCGGATGTGAGGAGCCCTTCCGTAGGCGGTGGCTGTGTCCCGGGGATTTGGGAGTCGGAATGCATTTTCTGTTGCTGTCCTATGATGGAATGACTTCTTCTTGGGACATTCTAATGCTCCACATCTGGCGTGGCAGGGAAGAACAACAAGAGGTCTGAGGAGCTTTTCTCAGTCTTGAGTACAGGTTTTAAGAGTGGCAAACACCCCTTCCCAGCAGCTTGAGGAGTGACACCCCCTCAACAGGCCACTGCTTCCTGTTTCTGAGCTGGAGCTGTTCCTGCAGAGAGGCTGTCTGCACACCAAAAGGACAACATAAAACCCATTACTTTTCCTATTTGTCATCAGGGAGAGAATGGAGGCAGTGCAGGAGTAACACTCAATGACACTGAGTTTTTGTCACTGGGCTCTAGACACAAACTGCGCCCATGAAATCATTTCCAGCTGTCAAGTCTGAGCTTTCTTCTATCTTTATTTCTGGTGTAGAGGTTTGGGCTAACCACAGTCCTCCGGTCGTTAACCTGCTTGTCTCATTGTACTTACTGCTTACAGTAAGTACAATGCTTACTTACATGTATGCATGTGTTTTCTCTTTGATGCTCATTCCCATGCTCCACCCTGCAGGCAAATGTTTTAACCTGTTAGTGTATGTCCTTGTATGTGTGTGCATCCTTCCGAGCTGTGCATTACCCTTGGGTGCATACAAGTTTAGCTTACATTGTTAATCTAGGTCTGCCTTTTATTCTTCCCCTCAGTACTGTGGCTCTGAGGTCCCTCCATGTCGCTCTCCTCATTTGTTGTTTCCTGGGGTGCACTCACCCAGTGCCCAGCCGCTCTTCCAGGGGTAGACTCCCCAGACACCTAGGCTCCCACCCACAAATGTCACTGCTGGGAACATGGCCACCCGGCCTGTGAGTGTTTGGGCGTAATTTCAGGCACAGGTGAGTGTCTAACCAAGGTGACGAGGCAGTACAGCGTGCTTTCCCTACAGGATGCCCGGACCCTCCTCCCGGCAGCCCTGCCACAGGGAAGACCCGGTCCTCCCACCCAGCCCTGGGGTTGGTTGAAATAAGAAAATGCAGATACAGCCCCCGCTCACAAGGATCCTGTGACATTATTCCTCCCTCAGCCCTGACACAGGCCCTCGTGGACTGGGTTTGCTGACTTTGCCCCAGCCAGGCAGCCAGCGCCCCTCCACCTGCCCCTCTCAGATCTGTCAAGGCAAATGCACCACAGCACCCGGGAGCTGAGCTACTCAGAGAGGAGCTCCAAGAGGAGTGGTCTTCCCCAGCATCACCCTGCATGTTGCCAGATGGGCCAGGGGTACTCGACACAACAGGTCCTGGAGCTCAGTCATCAGCAACAAGGGCTTCATTTTAGCCGTGACAGTGACTCCGCCTAGCTGGCTGGTGTGGAGTAAACAATGCCACTGAGATGAAATGGAACAGACTGAAGTCAGGAGACCCTGGCGACCTAGGCCAGGTCATGGTCCAGACACTTCTTCACAAGAAAAGACCCTGAGGCCCAGAAACAGAACTCCCCAAGGCCTCTGCATGATTGAGAGGCAACGCTGAAGCCAGAACCCGAGGGTCCCGTCACCAGGCCTGACCTCCCTCCATTCCTTTACCACTGCAGGGGCCCCCAATCCAACCACAACCTCAGTATTATTCCAGGGGGTTGAACTCCTTCCTTCCAAGCTCAGACTTGAGAAAGTCTCCGAAATACTAAACTGGCTTTATTGGTGGCTTTCCTTCCCTCTCCAGTCCAGTCCAGTGAACAGTAAAATAAAAAAGACTAAGGACAATAAAGAGGGAGAAGAGGATAACAGCTGTTTTCAATTGTGAAAAGTCAGTAATGGAGTGAGGGCATCCTGTCCCTTAAGAATCCTAGGCCAGCACTGTTTCCTCACCCCCCGTGGAGGACAGAACCAGAGGGAAACCCAGGGGATGCTGTGAAGCAATATGACCAACTACTTAGCAAACTCATCTAAAACTACATCCATAGCTCTGTGTTACCGTGTTCACAAGAGTCACCAAAGTGGGTTTTATTCCTTTGTAAATATCTCTCCCTTATAGCTCAGAGCAACAGTTCTAATATCCTCTTTATTTTTTTACCTGACAAATAATAGTAATAGTAGTGACTACAAAAATAATCAAATAACAATTATATTATCTTTATATATAAAACCTGAATATGCAAATAGACCAAATAGAACAACTGAAAAACTGAACAACTGAATAACCAGTCGCTATGATGTGCACTGATGACCAGGGGTCACATGCAGAACATGGTTGGAGCTGGCTGAGGCAGGATGGTGGAGCAGTGAGGACCAAGGCAGGGTGCAGTGGCCACAGGGGTGGGTCTCAGCCCATCCTCTACACCTCTGTTTCTGAGGCGACCCTCTGATGGTCATGGAAAATTCTTTGCTCCCCCATGCCACAGCCCCACCCAGTGCTGGCACCTGCTGCAGGCACCAGAGCCACCACTGCTGGCACCTGGCACTGGCCCCTATCACTTGGTGCCATCAGCCGGTGTGAGTGGCAGCAGCTGCTGGCCTGGATCACCCCTCAGGGCTTCTCCACCTCCCCCTGCTCCTTAGAGGCCATCGGGGCTAGCACCCGCTTATGGCACCTATTGCTGGCTATGGCCCAACTTGCACCTGCAGCCAGCACTGGAGCCACCACTCACATCCGCTGCTGGAGCTGGCCCCATTCACACCCACAGCCAGCACTGGAGCTGCCCACCACTCATACCTGCTGCCCAGGCCCAGCACAGGCCCCGATCGCCCCTGGGGGTTTCTTCACCTCCCCCTGCTCCTGCAGGGCAATTGGAGCAGCAGCCGCCACTCACACCCACTGCTGGCCTGGGTCCCAATCACTCCGTGCCATCAGCGAATGTGAGTGGGGCCAGTGCCGTCAGCGCATGGGAGCAGGGATAGCAGGAGCAGGACTGCAGGCAGGCAGGGGACCGCTGCAGGAGGGGCCGGGCAGAGGTGTAGAGGATGGGCTGAGACCCACCCCTGTGGCCACTGCAGCCTCAAGATGCACGAATTCATGCACTGGGCCCTAGTCTGTAGATAAACTGCAAACATTGTCAAAGTTGGGCAAATAAAACATGCTTAAGAAAAAGATTAATTCTAGGGAAGCAGTTAATCACATAGGAGGGCAGGGTTTGCAGATGAGGGAGGGAGATCTGGTCATAAGTGAATATCTGCTTGGACGAATTTGAGATTCTGCTCCTTGGGAAGGCCTGCCGCTCTGCATAGCAACACCCTGGAATGTGCTAGAACCTGCCTTTGTGAATTAGAACAGGCTGGGGGAGAAGAGCCCTTCTGCATTGTGAGCTAATTTGATTACCCACCCAATGGGAGAAATGTTAGAGGAATCGGTGCTTCGTTTTAACTGTACCTCACACAAAGCACTGGTGCTGTGAACGGAGAGCCCAAGACCCTTTGGATGGTGCAGGACCTAGACATCCTGGAGTCTGTCCGGCCCCCTTCCTGGGACTGCGCCAGGGAACAGTGCCTCTGGCCTGCAAGTCAGGCACTTGGCAGCCCACACCCTACCCCAAGCCTTGGGTTCCAGGAATATTTTTTAATTTTGAATTCATTAAATTCACCCATTTGAAATGTACAATTCAGTGGTGCTTAGTGTATTCATAGAGCTATGTGACCATCAGCACTATCTAATTCCGGAACATTTTCATCACTCCCCAAGGAGACCTCAGGCCCATTAGCCGTTACTCCCAATTTCCTCTCTTCTTCTGCTCCCCAACCCCTGGCAACCATTCGTCTACTTCCTGTCTCTCTAGATCGGCCCATTCTGGAAATCTCATATACCTGGACTCATATACATTTCTATGACTGCCTTTTTCACTGGGCATAAGTTTTCCAGAGTTTACTCGTGTTGAAGGCTGAATCGCTACTTCATTTTTATGGCTGAATAATATGTCATTGTAAGGAGATGGCACATTCTATTTATCTGTTTATCAGTTGATTCACTCAGGGAGGCTTTTAAAAAATATATTTTTATTGATTTCAGAGAGGAAGGGAGAGGGAGAGAGAGAAACATCAATGATGAGAGAGAATCATTGATTGGCTGCCTCCTGCACACCTCCTACTGGAGATTGAGCCCACAACCCAGGCATCTGCCCTGGTCTGGAATCGAACCCGGGACCCCTCAGTCCACAGGCTGATGCTCTATCCACTGAGCCAAACCAGTTGGGGCTGAGGGAGGCTTTTGCTACTAATCTGAGCTTCACTTGAAAACTATAGACAATGAATAACATTTGCCATTTCCTGATCAGATGGCTAATACGACAAAATTAGCATTTTAGGGAGATTGCTGTGCTGGGCCTGTGAGCATCGGCTGTGTAGTGAGACAGAGACAGGGGCTGATGAACAGGAGCTTCCTCCTGCTAAAGAGGAGCGGACGGTCACGGGCACCTGGGGGATCTGTGCAAGAAGCAAGCTGACTCTCTCTATCCCAGCTCCAACCAGAAAGCCAGAAAACCTCAGCTTAACAGAGCAGCTCCTGGAGGGGAGAGGCCCCTGGTGGCTTCAACCTGGTCTCCTATTTCTCCTGGAAACCCCATTGAAATTAGCCTCCTGCGCTCCTTTCGGGAATGGGCATAACTGCTAATTGCCTCTTGCACAATTATCTTCCCAAAATGAAGGATTTAGTTATCCTTGTTAGTGACAGCCCCAACGTGCAAAGACCCATTACTGAGTCGGCAAGGCTGGCGGGGTGCCAGCCAAGGCTGTGAGTGATTCTTACAGTGAGGCTCTGGCTCAGCTGGGTGGGGAGGGAAGGGCTGCCCAAGGCCAGAGGCCTCAGTCAGACCTCAGCTCTCAGATTGCCAATTTAAAAAATATATTTTACTTATGTTTTATTTTTTGTTGAATGGATCAGGGTGACATTGGTCAATATGACCATATAGGTTTCAGGAGTGGGTCCCTGTGTTACAGGATCTGTAGATTGCACTGCATGCCCACCACCCAGAGTCAAGTCTCCTCCTGTCGCCATATATCAGGACCCCCTTCCCCCTCTCCCTCTTCTCTCTGGCAACTGCCACACTGCCATTTGTGTCCACAAGTTTCCATCTTATATCCCACTTAGGAGTGAAAGCATATGGCTCTTAGCTTTCCCTGACCAACATATTTCACTTCGCTTAGTGTTCTCAAGGTCCACCCATGCTGTTGCAAATGGCGCTATTTCATCCTTTCTTCTGGCTGAGTAGCATTCCATTGTGTATACACCCATCTTCTTTACCCAGCCCTCTATCTCAGGGAGCTGGTTGTTTCTCAGCTTGCCAATTTTGACCTGCACAGCCTGGGGCTGCTTCCTGTCTAGCACAGGGGAAGGGACACCATGAAGGACCATGATGATAGGTAAAGTTTACTGAGGCTCAGGGGGATGCTTGGCTGACTGGCAGACAGGGGCCTCTCTGTCCTTACCACCCCTCCCCATGGCACGCACTGCACTGCTTTTCTTCTGTTACCTCACTTCCTTCCTTTGCCCACAATGTCAGGCTTTCCTCTGTCCCTCTGTCCCTCCCAGTGAGGCTGCCCAGCACCGCGCCTGTTTCATCTGGTCCGGTCTTCATTGCTCATGCTCGCTGCTTCTCAAGGAAGAGAAAGAAAGGTGGCGGGCATTACTATGGGTGGGCCAAGGAGGGCTGATCAAGGCAAAGCAGACAAAAAGATGGAAAGTTGCTTGGAGAAAATTGTGGCCAGTACACACTTTTAGGCATACACACACACACACACACACACACACACACACACACCCTTGCCCATACATTTTCTCCTCAGCTCATCTTCAGGAATATTCTGTTTAGGAATGAGGCCCTCGGGTTTGTAACTAATTTCCCAGAGTTGTGTTGAGGAATACGCTTCAACCTGAGAGATTAGATTTATGTGTAGTTGAGGGGCTCCTAAGAAGTTAGGGGAACCAAGGTTTCACCCTGCTCTTAGCCAGAGAACCAGGTGCTAGAGGCTGTGTTGATGAGGCGCCTGCGGACCTGAGTCTAGGCAGCCGTTTTCTCCACAGCGGTGGGGAGCGAGGGTGTGAAAGGTGCCTGTAAGGGAGTTATTCTGACAGCCTCCTGCAAGCCACCCTAAATGTGCTCCAGCAGCCTACAATACTGATAATGACAGAGGACGATACTTAAATATGCGAACACCATGTGTGGAGAATACACTGAAGTCAGAGATCAGACTGGCCCCTGCTGTGGGTGGTGAGGCTGCCAGTGGCCCTGAGAGGTGCAGTCCTTCCCACCTGTGAGTGAGAGAGGACCTCCTGGTCCCGAAAGGAGGGTGTGCAGGGGCAGGGGGGCGGGCCTCTGAGAGCTTCCCTGCAGTGGAGAAAGAAAAGATTCCTCTGATACCTCCAGTGTTGTCCCTCATGGAAGATGGGGTGCAGGGTGTAGCAATAGCCATCAGCAAAAGCAAGAGACAAAGTACGGCAGCCAAATGACCCAGATCCAGCAGTGGGAGGACTCCCATCACCTCGTATAGTCCTTGGCATGTTTTGGAAAAGCAGTGGTCCTCTTCTATTCCAATAAAACCTTGCACGAGAATCAGGGGAGGAAGAGATGGAACCTTCTCTGGCTCAAAGGGAGGCAGGGACCTGGTCATTTCCTAGGGCCTCTCCTTCCCGCACAGAGATGGCTGAGCCCCTCTGCTCTGGGTCCCCAGGGTCTGAAAAGAAAAGCCCTGGCCCCGCCTAGGTGAATGGAGGACAGAAGGGAGGAGGGGCAGGAGGGAGGAAGGCAGGCTGCTTTGCATTGCTATTTGCACAAAGCTACTGTGAGACCCAACAGGAAATTTACACAGGGTGGGGTAAATTTACAGTTGCTCATATGGAAAATAATCCAATAACTAATAATATAATAATTAACCCTGTGTTTTGCATACTCACAACTGTAGCTCTACTTTTGCCCCTCCCTGCATCCCTTTTCTTGCTAGGGAAGGCAACATTCTCATTATTTTCCACCCCAATGAGATGAACCAGCAAGAGGCTGAAGGGACAGTCAGTGATTGGGCTCTGGAGCCAGAATGCCTGGCTTTGAAGCACGGCCCTGCTACTTAGGAGCTGTGTAATGTTGGAAAGGTTACTTAACCTCTCTGTGCCTTGGTTTCCTCATCTGTAAAAGGAGGTGTTTGATGGTACCCACCTAGTGGGGTTGTGGTGATTCCGTCTGTTACAGGGTCCGTGGTGTTTAGAGCAGTGTGTGGCACGTGGTGCTGACTCAGCAAGGCCAGCTGCTGTGATGTTATAGCATGTACATGTACATTCGGGCAGTGCCGGGTTCGCCCACGGGATTCCAGCCTCGCCCTCAGGTAGGCATCCTGCCTCACCTCACAGGTCCAGAAGTGGCTTA